AAAGAATCAATCTTTTTCCATTTCTTTTCAAATCAAGTCAACAGTCTCACTGGGATCTAGCTGAAAATTAAGATAACGTTTTTCTTCAGAATTGCCCCCCCCCCCCCCGCCCAACTTTCAATGAGATGCAGTGCAAAAATACAACAGGTTCTTGTTCTTAGTTTTTTGTATTATTTTGATTAGTTTGGTGAATATCTACAAGGAACTAACAAGTGACATTGATGGTTTTCAAGCACCTAAACATGGATATCTCATGGGTTGGGCAAAACAAGGTGAGCTTAATAAATTATAGGGCTGTTACCTTCACAGAATGTTAAAAAAGTCCTGAAAATAGTGGTGAACTTCTCTATGATTTTATTTGACAAGCAATTTCTCCTTTATCTGCAGGTGTATTGCTGTTAAATGCTTGCCTGACAGTAGTGGCTTCACAAGCAAATTCACACAAAGATAAGGTTATGATGACAGTTAACCTTAAACCGTATAATACATGTTGTACCTAGCATCATTGGCACACAATGCATGGAGAGGGCTTTGCTTCTGTTGTCCTTTATATAGGCTGGCAATGCATGCAGAGGATGCAGTGGATGCAGTGAGCGTGGAATGCTACATATATGTACATGTAGCCATGCAGGCAGGCCTATGGTATTGGTACATTGTGCCCACTGTTAAAATAGGACTCAAGCATCATTACTCCTTGCCACCCTTGCCACCAGCTTAAAATCCAGTGCCATCTGACAGTTTTGATCTAACCGCATGACTATGATTCTGAAATAGAGCCAAAATATTGTAGCAATTTTTTTTTCTTTTGCATTGTAATAAACCAAAACTTAGTTTTCAACAAGGTTATCAATCCTCAGACTCCCCTTTTTTGCATTTCGGCTTGTTATCCTATCCTTGGTATCTGACACAATGATCTTTTCCATAAATTATGAACAAAATATAACACATGGGCAGTAGGACTTCAGCAATACACATGGGGTTAGCCTGAAGCTTAATCATTAGGTTAATAATAACTGATTTTTTTTCCTTCAGGGATGGGAAAAATTTACTGATGCTGTTATAAGGTGGATTAACACCAATCTCAGTGGTGTGGTATTCTTACTTTGGGGATCATATGCTCAGAAGAAAGGAAGTTTCATTGACAAGGTACTCTTAAGTTTATTTCAATGTTTTAAATCTTCTATCCTTGTTTTCATAATTATTCGACATTTTTATCATAACGTTGTATTAGGAATTTTATCAAACTTGCCCAAATATAAATAATTGTAGTGTTGTTGCAAGCATTCAGTAATGTCTTGAACTCCATTTAAGTCTACGTTTTAGCCTTGTATGCTAGCTGCTATGGGTGTATAGAGATAACACATGTATCCACTGTTACTAGTCCAGTGTCAAGTTTGTTTAGCAAATCCCACATTAAAGTTTGGTATCATGATGCAGAGCTTAGTGTGTGATAATTATACTGTTGATATTTAATTTATTTTTACTTTAATTTGATATTTAAGGTACACCTATTTTGTTATCTTCTACAGAAGAAGCACTGTGTGCTGAAGGCCGTCCATCCTTCACCATTGTCTGCCCACCGTGGCTTCCTAGGCTGTAAGCACTTTTCACAAGCCAATGAGTATTTAAAGAAAGCTGGAAAGAAACCTATTGATTGGTGCAATCTTCCTGGTGATGAAAAGGCAGCTTAAATTGCTATAATTGACATGTTCTGTCTTCATTTACATGTACATTACCAAGAAGTTCCTGTTGTATTAAATTATAGTTTAGTATGGTAGTTATCAAAAGTGACAATCTGACTGCTTTGTCAGGACATTTGTTTTCTGTTTGTGTATGCTCCTCTTGGCAGCTTTTCAGATTTAATTTTAGCTTAAGGCCATTGCTAAGAGGAGCAAAGTTTAGGGCTTGCTCCCAGTCTTACCAATTTTAGCTACCAGAGATAAAAAATTAGTTTTGTACATTGTGCTGCTAAAGTTTTAGCCTGTTTATGGTGCTCAATGTAAATTAAGAGAAAATTAAATACATGGGTGTAATAATAAAATTGTCAGCTCTAAACATGTATTTCATTTACTGTCATAAATAATATGAGACTTATATGAGATGGAACATTCTGACACTATATACTGGTGAGAGCCAAAACTTATCACTCGTTCCATCCCAGATGGAAAGGCCTCAAGTTGCTTCTGTTCAAATCCGTACATCAGTCCCTCAAGTTTGGTCAATAAATGTTATTAATAAAATATTCTCTCAGCCATTATATGCATCTTATAAATCAAAATCTAATAGAAATTATTTAAACACTGTCTTTTCCACCTTGTTTGCACCCTTTTTGTAAACTGGCAGCTTGGCCATCATCCTCATCACCATCACCACAGTCCTTTCCTATCACTGACATAAAGATAAAGATTTTAGGCCTGAATGGGATTTGAAACCATGTCACCCCTGCGATTCCGTTGCAATGCTGAGCTATGAAGCCAGCCCCCAGTTGGCTTTATAGCTCAGTTGCCAGACCACTGAACTGGTATCACAGAGGTCATGGGTTTGAATCCCATTCAAACCTCAAATCTTTGCAAAACTCAGCTTCACCTATAAAATTTCAGTCCGAGGGTTGGAAGTGGTGAATTGTCTTGGAAAGGGTGAATTGTCTTGCCTAAGAACGCAATGTTATGTCCCCAGCCAGGGCTCGAACTCAGACCACGATGGTGAATTGTCTTGCCTTAGTACACCACGTAATGTCCCTGGCCAGGGCTCAAACCTGGCGACAAGTGCACCAGCCAGTGGAGGGGGTGGGGGGCAGGGGGGGCAGGGGGGGCAGGAGCCAGGCTGAATAGGTGGCAGGAGATGGGAGAGGAAAGGGCGGGAAGTGGGAATAGAAGGGGCAGGCAATGGGAGTTCTTAGCTAAGAAGGCGGGAATCAATTATTAAGCGTTAAAATACTTTCAAAAACAGCAACCCAAAATGTTTTGATTTACAGTTACCTTTTTGTTAAACTTCTGGACTGACGGGAAAATCATAAAATGAAAATTCGCCCTTGGGCTGAAAAACTGAGGCCTACTTCCGGTAAAATTGGAAACACTTTTATCGTGGTTACGTCATAGGTCATGAAATGTTGTGCAGATTTTGGAGTGTCAAACATTGCCCAAATTTCCTCCAAAATGGAAGCGCGGCGGATCAGAATGCTGTCCAGTGCCCTGTCTACTATTGGCCAGAGGGAGTAACGTAGGGAAACTGGGTGCCACTTCCGCCTTTTCCCAATCCTTGGGGCGCCTGTTACATTTCGGGCTCCCTCCTTCATCTTTCATTAGGATTTTCGTGGATTAGTTTTATTTTTGTAATAGATGCTGCCCACGGACGAGGAGGATAATGCACCGCTCATAAGAAATGATCTTGAAGGTAATTTTCTTCTCTTGTTCGCAAATTTGACGTTAGTTATCAAGCTTAAGCTTATATATTCGTTCAGATTTTAGTTCGTGGACCATCGTCAGAGAGCTCTCTTGTAAACTGATGCCGTACTAAATTTCGATGTTTGGACTTCTCTGAGATTCGCTTCTGTGAAAAAAACTGTAAGAAGTGACTATGAAAAGATTAGTTAACCGACTGTTCACTGATTGACTGAATTAGTGGCGAAATGTCAATGAACGGAATATACACTGTATTTAGTTTATAGGTTCTCCTCACTCCCTAACTAACTTGTAAATACTTTCCTGGTGAAAAGCCTCACAGGATCTTTAGGGATCTTACAAGATTTTTAAGGGCTGTTGTCATGTTCACTTGTCTCGTGGTTAACATCAACTGAAAATTCAAAGGGAAGGAATAAGGCAACTTCTTTTTTGGTATTTTTGACCAAAAGCAAAGTAGTTTAAAGGAGAGGGTCACTCCAAAAAGCTTGTTTTTTTGTCTTCGCCTATAGCAAGTAAACATTTAGCTTTTTCACTCACTGAAGTTTCAGCTGCTAAAGCGCCAGCTATCCTGAAGACATTCATCTCAAAAGAATCTACTTCGGAGGCTGCTAAATGTGTTTTGAACTGTACATGTACTTGGCAGCCTGGCTGTATTTTTGTGACATAATTCCATCCGACTCAAAATTGGCAAGAAGGAGAAAAACCTGCAAATGACTTTGCATCCTTCACAAGGTCAGTAAAATGTATTTTTTTCAAAGTGATTATCCACTTCCTTATCTTCACTGGTTTCATTTTCCGAGTTTGGAGCATGTTTGGCCCAAGATAATATGGCTCCAGAGCAGCCATTAGCCTAGAGTGGTAGTTAAGGTGGCTCCATAGGGTAATCATTTTATGGCGTTGCGCACACAAGTGTTATGGTTTGAATGCTGTTTTTGCATTGGCTTTCACACCTAGTCCTCTCAAACTAATTACATGTAATAAGCAATGATTAAATAGTGTTTTGCTATCATCGCTATTAAAATTTTGGGATTTAGTCTTAAATTATAAATGCCCGAACAAAAGTGTATTTCACTGTTTTTATGGCTTTATTTGTGATTTTCATGAATTTTGTGCGGTGAAATCTTCCAAAATTTTTTCATCACATCGCTTCCAGCAGAATACGAATTTTAAACACGAAAAAAGTAGGGTTTGTAAAGGCAGTTTTTTCGATATTTTCAAATTTATATCTTTCACCGCTGCAAAAAATTTGGTCTTATAGATTTCCCTGAAAAATGAGCTCCGACTAAAATAAAATATTTGCTACCAATCTGCCAAATTTTATGGAATTTCACTGAAGGAAATGCGAGAAAATTCACTGTCAGTTTTGCTTTTTGTGCTCATGTTGATGCAATAAAATATCGAAAAACACTGACGTTTTCCTTTGAGCATGCACAGATTACTTCCTCAGCGCTTGCGCGATCATAAAACTGTAGGAAGCCACCTTAAAAAGCTTATCGGAAGCCATTTAAATGTCTTGGACGGAATGACGTCACAAAAATGCGGCCTGACTGCTGAGTACTGTACAAAATGGCAGCGACAATGAAGAATTTTGGGCTTCTTTGGAGATGAATTTCATAAGGAAACCTGCACTTCAGAGTTTGAAACTTTGGTGAGTGACTAAACTTAGTGCAAGGTTTTTATTAGCTTTGACAAATGAAATACGTTTTCCGTAGTGACCTTGAGTTCTTCTGTAAGATACACAACAAAGTAGGAAGTTTCTCTTACTTGTGTGGACTGCAACAAGGTTGAATAAAGACTAAAAGTAAGGAAAGAGTAAGAAATACATGGAGTAAGTGGAATGCCATGGGCCAGCAGGTTAAAAGGGGTTTGAAAACTTGGCAGCCTTCTAGAGACCAAGTACCATTTGGTTGAGAATGAAAAGACATAAATAGAACAAAACGAGTTCTGATGTATTTTGAGTCTTTTGCTAGCTGGTAAGCACCCTTTTTTGCTAGCCCTCTAGCAACAGGGCTAGGGGGTTCCAAACCTGCCTGTAAACACTTGGCCTGGCATGGGTACTTACAGGAGCTACCTAATTCATATTACATCAGATCTTGGCATTTGCACAGTCTACCCTGTATATTTTAATCAATTGATTTTTTTGTTTTTATAATTTACATTATAATTTACAATTTTTTTAATATTAATATTTANGTTATATATATTTATCAGGTGTACAGTAACTACATTCCACATCCCTAGGGCATGTTATCTGTCAGTAGTGATGGATATGGCTTGACACTTAAGTTTACGCTGAGATAGAAATGCTCCGTCAGAATGTACTGTTCAGAGGCATGCACTTTGTCAATGAGTTATTGGGATCAGTGCAATTATAGGCTGTTAAGTGTAGTTGGAAATGACTAGATGATAATTGGGTGGGAGGAATAAAAAAGGAATGGATTCTCTGGTCATTGAATGATTTGTTTTTATTTAATCTTAGTATGGAGTTGTACTGGATGCAGGCTCAACACATACCAGTATGTTTGTTTATAAGTGGACAGTCAGCGATGTTGTAAAGGGCACTGCACTTGTAAAACAAATCGGAGACTGTACAGTCAAAGATAAAGGTGAATCAATGTGGATCCCAATTTGTAGTAAATATGTAGTGAATTTTTAATCCATTAAAGGGATGCGTGAAAAACTATGTTCAATTTACGTGTACACCAACAGCAATTTACTAAAAGTTCAGTGGGACAGTGTTTTTGTAAGATCAATTAAAATGATTTCAGTTGCATAATATGAAATCTTTGGATAATGATCATGGTTATTCTTTTTCTTTTCTGGATTTAATTTAATATATGCATTGTACAGTTGCAGACAATATCCATACCCTCTCCACGAAGTATATTGGAAATTCCAGTGGGTAGGGGAACTTCAAAAGACAAAATTTTTAAAGGAAAGTACAAAGTAACTAATTAAAGTGAACTGGCTTATTTCCAGAGGTCTGGGAGAGTTCAAAAACCAAACAATTCTGTGGTAGAAGTGGGAATATTTTCTGGGACACCATCATTGCTCATTCACTTTTAACAGAGTTTTTTGCAACCTGATAATGTAAACGTATGTTGCAGATGGTATGGTGAAAGGAATTTCAAGCTATGTAGCTGATCCCGAGCAGGCTGGACAGTCACTGCAAAGTTGTATAAAAAGCAAAGCCAAGAAGCTTATTCCGTCATACCTACAGGACAAGTCTCCAATTTACCTTGGTGCTACTGCAGGGATGAGGCTGCTTAAGTAAGAGTGAACAAAATTTATTTTTCACAAAAGGTGCAGCTGTCAAAGTCCTCTTATGAAAATTCTCAAAAGAAAAAGGTTACAAAGGGTTTTGCCCTTGAGAATAAGCGTGAGGACAAATTTGAAGCTGGGGTGTCTTATGATTCTCTCCCCAACAGCCACCTTGGGAACAAAGGAAAATGACCATTGTAGACAGGTGGCCAAAATGGGGAGGTAGGGGTGTAATATGACACCTGTATTTTTTTCAGGGGTTGCAACATTTTTATTTTCTTGATAAAAATATTTATTGTATAGCACATGAATACATAACACAATCACAATCTATCAATGAAACAGAAACCAAACAGAAACAGAGAACAATATGGTGCATTATGACCAAATTTTGTGACCTATAACTTACATTTAAGTTGTAGGGTTTTGTGTACACTGTCCATCAGTCCTTGATTAACTGGCCATAATATTGAGAAGTTATTTTGGCAGTTGGGACACCCTTTAGTAGCTGTTATGGTTATGAAGAGATGGGCATAAATGGAGGTTCAACTGTAGTGATGTGACTGTTTTTAATTGATTTCAAATGTTACTTTGCACCAAAACCAACTTGGATTATTAAATTAACACTGACAACAAAAATTCATAATAATTTTTCAGGGAGACAAATGCTACAGCAGCAGATCGTATCCTAGCCTCTGTGCGGCAAACGCTGGCAAGCTCACCTTTCATGTTTAAAGACGAATTTGCTCGTATAATAAGTGGTGAAGAAGAAGGTCTCTCATCTTGGGTAACAGTAAACTACTTAAATGGTGCTTTAAAGGATTTACAGGTATGTAATATTTTAAGTTAATGATGTGCATACAATAATAACACAAAACAAACAATTATTATGCCTTCTCATCACAAGTCTTTCTGGAAATATTAAGACAAAGCTGCCAACCTGCAGATACTGGAAAGGTGGAGATTCCAAGTCCTAGACTTGTGAAAGCCCTTGGAACTACCAAATGTGAAAGAGGACTTGACGTGTACATTGTTGTACAGTGTATTTATGTCAGTCTTTCTCCATTTTGAGCCTCAGATCTTGACTGCATTCATGTATTTATGTTCCTTCTCCTAATAGACATCTGTTCTTCCTCCCAGTCTCTCCTTGCTTCCCTTTTTTATCCTTCCTTCTTTCCTTCCTTTACAATGAACAGTTTTTGACATATCTTGCTAGAGGGGCACGTTTTAAAAAACACAAAATGGTGAAATGACAAAATAGCCCCTATTGACTCATACCCTAGTGCCATTTCATCATTTTGCCATTTCATGTTTCAACATGCCCATGCTGTATTTATTTTAGGAAACAAGTCAAGTAGATGGTGTCCTGGTCAGTCAAAAACTGGTTGGTGCTCTGGACATGGGAGGTGCATCTACACAAATAACATTTGTTCCATCTAAACCTCCTCCACATTCCAGTAAATTGAAGTTGTATGGAAATGAATATCAGCTGTACACACACAGCTACTTGTGTTATGGCAAGAAAGAAGCAGAGAGAAGATACTTAGCTCAACTTGTTAAGGTTAGGAAATGAGTGTGTATGCCATTTAGACTTCCAAATCTTTACTTTCTTTTGAATAGTTAAAGGTTTCAAGTTGCTCACCCTCCATTAGGCCACTGTATTAACCATAGTTAACCTTTGTAAGAGAAATCAGTGGTCGGCGGTACCACACCATGTACTGCTCAGTTAATGAATCGTTTTCCATTTCTTGAGGGGAAGGAACAGATTGAGAACATATTTGCAACGTTCCTCATAGAATTTTAGAAACTCAAGATGAAGATTGAGAGATGGTGCCAATTTCATTCATGAACAAATACTTATCCTACAAAAATAAACAGTTCTGTTTTGCACTCTTTTCCATTCCTAGCAAGAGAAACGTCCGAGATTTGAGACAAGTCATCCATTGTGATGGCATAGCACTACAGAGATTCGTAAAGTGTTTGTTATTGGTTGTTGCTTAGTTTAGAGCGGTTTTTAATACAATGCAGTGAACCAATCAAAACTCAAAGTAAATACATGTAGGTAACGCAGAGCGCGTAAAAACGAGCGAGTGGCGATTGGTTTTGGTTTTATTTCTTATTGGGTGAAAAAGTGGCGCGGGTTTTCTTTAAGCGAACAAAACAACCAATTACTTTTCGACACCGCTGTATAACAACCAATCCAGAGACAGTATTTTTAACAATTGCTCCACGAGCGCGCGTTGGATACCAGATGATAGATAGCCAACCAGGTACGTAGCGCACACTGAGTTGGCTATAATCATCTCATATCTAACAAGCGTGAGTGGAATAATTGTTGAATTAAAAACGCCCGAAAACATCGAAAACTAGCTAACATAAAAAACAAAACGAAAAATAACGCGTACGTTTATTTGTATAGTTTGGTATAATTAACAATTATTCCACGATCGCGAGCGCCCGTTGGATATGAGAAGGTATGATGATATGAATGGGCGATAATCATCTCATATCGAACATGAAAGAGTGGAATAATTGTTTTATTAAAAACGTCCCCAAAATGTAGAAAACTAAACTAAGATAAAAACAAAACCGCCCAAAAAATCACGCGTACGCTCACCATATTTGTAGAGCATGGTGTAATGTCTCATAACCCATGATGGCTAAGCCAATGAAAACTTTTGAATTGGATTATTCAATGATCCAGTTTTTAATAAAGTAATACTGGAAAGCAGGGTCAATATTATACTTCATTTATACTGTAAACTTGCTTTTAGGATTCTAATTTTTCAGCAACAGTCGACAATCCATGCGGACCCAAGGGCCACCAAAGAAACGTAACCTCCAGCTACCTCTGGGCTCCTCCGTGCGTTACAGGGCAACATTCAAGGAGCACTTCCTTTACACTGAAGGGAACTGGAAACTACACTCTTTGTGCCAAGCAAGTCGATAAACTTTTCAACTTCTCATCATGCCGAGGCAATAGCAATTGTTCGTTTGATGATGTTTATCAACCACCCATTCAGGACGGAATTACATTTTTTGTAAGTTCAGTTTTTACTACTATTTTCATGAGCAATCTCAACTTAGCCTCTTAGATTGTCGAGCTAACAGCGCAGAAACAAAAGAAACGAACAGGTAGATGTCTGCTGGGGTCACGGGAGGGAATAACAGCGAGGGAATAGCAGCGAGGGAATAGCAGCGACCTTGCTAACCTCCATTTTTCGTGAAATCATTTTTTCCGCTGCCTTTTTTTATTTCTTCATATGACGGAAAGTAGACTTGTAGAAATGTTTGATTCATTTTGATATCCACTAGGTACGATCCTTTATAATGTGGAGGCGCGGTGGCCTCATGGTTAGTTTGCTCATCTCCGGATCGAGCGGTTCAAGCCCTGGCTGGGGACATTGTGATGTGTTCTTGGGCAGGATACTTACCTCTCACAGTGCCTCTCTCCACCCAGGTACCCATTTACAAATGGGTACTGGCTGATTTAATGCTGGGGGTAACCCTGCAATGGACTAGCATCCCATCCAGGGGGAAGGAGAAATATTCCTTATCGCTTCATGCTACAGAAACTGGGATAAGCTCCGATCCAGCCTGGCTCGTATGCAGACCTTTTTACCCTTTTACGTTTCTTTAAAATAGAACGCGCAACTGATCTACACCCAGTAGCTTGGTAATATACAGTAAATAATAAATAAATAAAGTAAATAATAAAACAAAACAAGCAAAACAAAACAAAACTGTAGCTTCATACACCCGTGCAAACGCAATTTTTAGCAGTTTCCTCTGTGAGACCTCTGATCAGATCGGGAGCTACCAACTGGGGCGACCAGAAGAGAGGGCTGATGTCGAAGCTACGAAGTTATATTTCTCTTTACTTTAAGCGCACTTATTTAATCTGGAATCTGTGTTCAGATTTAGTCAGTGGACATGTTTGGTGAGATTTTGAATTCTTGATTTCAGGCATTCTCTGGCTACTATGTTGTTATCCGAGATCTCAATCTCACTAGCGATGTGTCGCTTGATGAGCTGGAATATGCAACAAAGAATATCTGTAGGAAATCTTGGGATGAAGTAAGTTCTGGTCAGTTTCGTCTGTCTCATATCCCATTCACACCAACATGTTAAGTATTAGTTGCTCACGTCGTACACACCCCACAACTAAACAAGGTGAAAGCCTGTTTGACTAAAATGTATTAGCTTTGAAATTTGTCTTCTCAAAGAGACAGCAAAGCGTAGTTGACAAATTGGAAAAACCCAAACGTGATTTAGTTAAAATAGTAAGGTTGGTTTGAATGAGGTATAGGCCTTGTAAATCAGGCCAGCCTCCCCTACTTGACAGGCGCCTCAACCTGGACTGTGATGTTCGACTGTAGTACTACTAAGACCTACTAACAATGTACCAATGTGTCTTGCTCTCTATTTTAATTATCACTGACTAAAAAGGAACTGAATGACTCAGACCGACTGACCACCCTATTTGTCACCAGAATAAGTGTGACTAGATAATCATACACACATGATGCATTTAGAGCTGTCAGAGCTTGAAGTTCCAGGACTTAAATAAGTTAGAACTCAAACAGTAACCTAAATTTAAACTTGACCCGGTTATTTTTTTCTACGCAGATAAAAGTCATTCCTTCAAATCCCTTGTATCTTGCATTTTACTGTTTTGATGCGCAATATATCCTGACAATTCTTGCACGTGGCTACCACTTCGAGAAGTCGAAGCCAATCTTGAGATTTGTTGGTTCGGTGAGTAGCAGTGCTATGTATTCTATGAAATAAAGAGCATACTCGGTACAACATGTTGGTCATCTCGTGCTACAAAACAACTTGAGATTGGGTAATTTGCCACCAACTATCTATTTATATTGTTTATTATAATATAAAATCGTATCTTTTTGGTGCGCTTCGGCGGCATATCAGGCGAGTTTAGTCGAGCCATGGTTCGTATTTTGGCGAGACGTAGTCGAGCCATAATACGAACCATGGCGGGACCAAACGAGCCTGGTATGCCGCCGAAGCGCACCAAAAAGATACGATTAGGTATTTACCGTACCCAAATTCGACCATGTGAGCATGATATCGTAACCATATCAGGTCAGTGACTTGATATCGCAGGATTTCAGGAAAGTAGGCACGGCTTCTGATTGGCTAATTGTGAATTTGAGTGCGATAATTATATATATGCAGTCCTGTATTTGCATTAGTCAGTCTCTTTGAGCCCTGACTTTGTTCTTTGGAACAGTGGCCACTCCCACGGGATTCGGATATTATAAATGAAGTCTTCTTATTTTCATCCATGACTATTTGTCTAATATTGTATATGACCTATGTGAAAGCAACCAAGCCTTACGCTCGCCTACGGAATGCTTTGTAATCTCTGGGGGGGAGGGGTTCACATTACCATCAATAACAGAGTGTACTAATAAGGAGCAAGAAATTCGTGTTAAAATTTCATTAAATATACGAACCCAGAGAAGATGTTTATTAAGTGCTTTTCATCGGCGCTCATGATTGATTAGGTTACTCGCGCAAGTTCATCTCGGCCAGTGGTTGGACGGGTATCCTTTTCGAGACCTGGAACTGAAGCATATAGTGGTTTCCGCGGTTTTGGTCCGAGACTGTTACTCAACTTTCGGAGGGTTCGTACTATTTCCTGAGTGTTCAATGATAATATCACTGTGCTGATAAGTCGAAAACAAAATCGTAAACAACCTTTATGAAAATCAGAAAATTTATCGGGAATTCGCGGGACATCTTTCAATCTCTCATTTTTCAAAACATGCACTTCTTTTTATGTTAACTCGACGGAAACATAAAATGTCTTTTCTGTTTTCTGTCCAACTTCGTATTTCTTCCTTTCTTCAGGTTAACCAACGTTCTCTTGGCTGGACTCTGGGTTTTATGATCAACGCCACAAATCTCTTGCCAGTGGAAAATCCAGGCACCATCTCAATTCACCTGATCCAGAGTGGTGTCTACTTGGTCGTGGTTATCGTAGGTGCTTTACTGATCAGTACTGGGATACTGATATGTGCGCTGTCCGCCGGGAGAATGTATAAACAAAAACGTTTACGAACGCAAGGACTGGTGCTATAAACAGGATCAGTGGTTTCCAGGCCCTTCAAACTGAGATGGAGGCTTCTCTATTAATTTCTATGACGTGGATGGTCGAGGCAGAGTCATGTGACCAATGATTGGAACTGGATTACGCTACATATGTATCTGGTGTAAGACTAGATTCACAAGAAGAAATGAAAATATCACAATATGTTTGTTTTTAATTTATGTCTAGTAACGATGTATGTGTGAACTGAGAGTTTTTATCGCCTAAAAACGTACAGATTAGGGAGATGATTTGTCTTGAACTTTATAAAACTTTTAAGTATATACTACAATTTTAAGAAATTGCTATATTGAAATATTCAAAATATGCGTTGGCACGCGTGTAGTATCTTGAAAAATTTAGTGTAACGTTTTTCACCTTCGTCTCTCCCCAATCCAATTGGTATTTTTGTACCTTATTGAACTATTTTTGTTGGTTTCTCTTATTTCCGGGAAATTTTGTGTATCGCAAATATGATTACATTTCAAAAATGACTAGCGTCATGTCCATTGTCCAACCTTAGACTATTTCATGCTGTTGAGTACAGCATACAACATGCAATTCTCAAAGAATGCACACGTGACCCCAGTAATGCGGTACACGAGCTAAATATCTGGGTTCCAAAACTGTTGGGAAAAAATTACAGCGGGAAAGAAAGGGCGGAAACGAGAACCCGCGCTTCGTTTTTCCTCCTAAGTACCAGGTTGTCGAATATGAATACAAAAGTTCTTTGACATGTGCTAAAAAGTAAAAATTTCAATTATTTTTTCATATTTAAAGGAGCTACGTCACGGTTCAGTCATCTTGAAAAGTTAAGACTAAATTTTTCCAAGTCCGTCGTTTGTAATTCGTGTTAACTTTATCTTCTCCATCCTTAACCATTCTTGTTCCTTTATGGCTTATTATTATCTGTTTTGTGTTTTCCCATCTTATTTAACTATTATTTTCAGGTTCCCTTCAATGTAAAGGTTATTTTGTGCGGGGCCAAAATAACTCAAAATATCGTGACTAAGCTCCTGTAAAAAAAGAAAGAAACCCATAGTTAAAAGTTGCTGATAAGATTTATGGCACTCTGCGTTAGTAGCTAAGAATTTAAACCAGCAGCCGCAAAACTCAAGATCTCTTTATTTCGTAATCAATGTCTTAGCTTAGTTACCAACCTTACAGGAGCTGTCTCTGGATAAAGTTTTTAATTAATTTTTTTGTCCTTGAAATAAAGACAATTTTTAAAGCTATCAGAGAACGATAGGACANTCGGATTGGCTGATAAATAAGAACAATCAAACTGAAATTGGCAGTGCAAATTACTGCTATGGCAGTGAGAAAACACTGAAATTAGAGGAGCCAACCAGAAAACCCAGCTTAGCCTAGAATTTCTCTTAATCACTCCAGCTCAAATGATTGTAGCATTGCCATTAAACAGACAGGTTCACTGCGAGGCGCAACACACATCTCTCGCAAGGCTCTGTAACAGTAAGACAAACTAACGGAAACAATAAAACTCGCTTAGGAGCTACGTCACGGGTTGCGCATCTTGAAAAGTTTAGCCTAGATTTTCCAAGTTGTTGGTTTGTAATCCGTGTGAATCTTCTCATACTTGGCCATCCTTGTTCCTTTACGGTTTATTATTATCTCTTTGGTGTTTTTCTATCTTAGTAAACTGTTATTTTTAAATTTCCCTTAGTTTAAAGGTTATTTTGTACTTGGCCAAAAAAACTCAAAAAAAACTATGACTGAGCTCCCTTAATTCAACGCTTCTGAAGAAGCGAGTGACAAGAATTAAATGATACCTTTTCCAGCCAATTGAAGCATGGCCATCATTTTCCAAGGTTAGTCTTTGCGACTTGCGGAACAGGCTTTCACGACCATTCACACAAGATATTAGTACTCAACAACACCACTGTTTTTCAGACTTCACAAGTGAAGTTTAATCACCAACTAATCTTCAACATGGCGGGTTACCAAACACAACCTCTAAATGACATCATAAAATTATAATATATTTACCTAAAAATTTCTATTGGTCAGCTTGTATGGACATACTAACAAAATAATGTAAAATTACACTTCAATGTTTCTTACGTCTTGAAGCCAAAAACTTGTTACTTTGTCCTTAATAAAATATGTATTTCTATAATTATTGTATACCTATTTTGTGAATGTTAGGCGGGCTATGTGAATTAAAACAACAGGGGTGTACACGGGAAAAAATGAAAGTCGTTCACCAAGCACTCGTACCCAACCAAAGTCGTCTGTCGACTACAATTTAGCCCTAGTTAAATTTTTCTTATCGTGCTCTCTACAAACAATGGATCCTCGTCACCCAAAAGTACCATGGATTTGACCCCATCACTTTTAACCCCTTTCAAGTCTGTGGTAAGAAACCGTGGAGTACTTTCACGTTTTTGCAAGAAACCGTAAGCTGCGACCATTCATATGAATTCCATTGAACAGTATCATCAGGTGCTTCAAATCTTTTCCTGCTGGGGTAGAAGGGTTAAATTCCACATATACAAAGTAACCGTATTCTTGAATTAGCCCCTGTGAAATGATACAACTGGCTTCTACGTTAGACTTAAAAAAAAAAAAAAACAGCCAGAGAACTGAGTTTCAAAACGTTCTAAAACAAAAACAAAACTATTTGAACCACCGTCCACTGGAATGCGCCTGTTAAGAACTTCGTTCTTGAACGGATCTGTGTTCCTAGTTCTTGAAAGAACTCGGGTGCTGCTTAGTTACAAATGGCAAAAAAAATAGAAAAAAAAAGTTTAAAGAATACTAAATTACAAAAAGGCACCTGGAAAAGGAATTTTGCCAGTTTTAGATCCTCGGCAGAGGTTCCGATTACATTTGTCTAGTCATTGGAATTAAGGAGATTTTGTACATACTTATGCAGCCTTCTTATGAACGAAATTCAATAATCAGTTTCTCTTAATATGTGAGATGTACAGCCTGTTTGCATATCCTTGTCACAGTGACCATTTACAAACTATTTTCCCGGGTCGTCTTGATGAAAAAACATCACTAAAGATATAATTCTTTGCAATAAATGTCAGTAAGTGTACAGAAAACACCTTACTGTCAAGTAATTTAATCTACAATCATCTATAAGAGCCCACGTTTTCCATGAGTGAATAGTCAACGAGGCACTGCCGAGTCGAGTATTCAGCCAAAGAAAACGAAGGGTAGCCTCCTATGCAGACGTTCCAATGGTTTGTCACGTACTCTTTCCCTTTTGTTGGAGAGGAAAGATTGTCTGACGAGCCTCTTCCATGCAAGAGGCCAAAGGGAGGGTAACTAGAAGACATTTTTACCCCAGCCCCCCTTACTAGGTATTCTTGAGCTAAAGATACACTTGCAATGTCAATAACTAAGCAGGCACCTAATATCAATTGATTGAAGGCCCTTACCATTTCTAGCCAGGGACTGACATGATAAACCATCAGCCCTCTATATTTGTAAGTTTAACATGCCAGCAGTAACTACCTAATACTAGTTAAGCAACACTTCCAAGTGGAATACCATGGAATACTCCACAAGTCACGTGCAATTTTCCTCGGTATACACACAAGCCTTTAGGCGAGTGTGTATACCAAGACAATGCAAGTGGCAAGTGGGGTATTCCATGGTGTATCACTCAAAAGCACAGCATAACTATGTTATACCATGCCATAGATAGTCCAGTGGCCAACACCATCACTTCAGTGTATGATGGGAAGGTTACAAGTATACAATGGGTTTCCTGTATTGTGATTGGCTCTATCTTCTGTGGCATGGTATAAATACATCACCGTCAATAATATTCCTCAACACATTTTGGCCTTCCATACAGCAATAGATCAATCAGCTGCTTATAATCTAAAAGTAGAAACTAAGCATCTGATCATGAGTTATTTAGAACAGAGGACATTAACCAGTGGGCCCTCACTCTCACTGGTACAACAGACTACAGCTTGCTAGAATATTACCAATCATTTGTCGACCCCAATTTTTTTGCCACAGACCAGTAAAGCAAGGGAATGTGGTAGCTTAGCTAAAGTAATTATGGCAAACGTTGTAAAATTAATTAGCAAAACTTTCCTTTGACTCACATTGAATTGAGAGTTTTGAACCACAAATTCAGTGGCATATCTGATGTGAGACACATTCACCTCTTTCAGTTCATTTCAGCTATCACAACACTTTCCTAAATCACACATTTTTAAAACAACCTGAAATCTCCATAATATTCACTAGTTTCCTCTCTTCAGTTCAATTGAGGAAAACCCTCAGCCCGTCATCCTAATTCCCTTCTTCTCCTTGCCACTTTTCACATCTTTGTTCGTTTTGATGGCGGCTCATCCCTAGACCTGTCATTCCCTCGTGAGTCAAAGTCAGCATTGGCCATGTCACTCAGCCCTTGGAGACTGGAGAACTCTGGGCCTCCCTGTTCATCTTTGTCCTCTTGGGAGCCTGGTAAGGTGTCTGAGGGGGTATTACTGCGACTTCCTGCAATTTTACAACCAGTTTTACAAACAATGTTGAAATTGTTTTATGTGAGAGTCGGCTAAGGCATATTTCAGGACTCATGAGAGGTGACTTTTGGGGCTCCTCTACCTTGAGGACCAAATGGACGAGAAGATGGGACCTCCTTTTATAAACAGCCACACCCAGCACTTTAACTTGTGCTAGGTAATTTTTTCGAGTTTTAACAGGCCAGTCATTATTTGAATACACAATCCTCTTCATGTTTCCACAATTTTGAAAGGCTTGCAACTTGCAAGAAAATTAAAACAAACCCTTTTAAATAACAAAATACTAAGAGATACACATGTATATTTATACCCCCTCTCAAAGATTTTCCCCACCTGATTTGCCATTTTGACCTCTCTTTCTTTGTTCTCCACTCTGAAAAATGTTTTGAACAAATGAGAAATTTATTTAAATGCAAACAGAAATTGCCAGAATTGATATAGCAATAGAAGTTTAGAAGGCAGGCCAAAGTTGACTTTAGTTATTTTGGGTTCTAAATTTGGACATTACACAAGTGCTTTTATAGAAAACAGTCTACAAGTAAATATATGAAAGATCAATTAGTTTAAACTGCAGAGAAAGATATGAAGACATGATTGATCCTTACAGTTATACACACAACTTAAGCTGCAGTGAAATTAAACAGGAAACAGTCTGTAGCAAAACCTGGCAATCAGCTTATAATAAATTTATTATTTTATAGATCTGAACAAACCTGAGAAAATGACAACATTTGACATTTTATTACTGCTAGCCAAAACAATAACAAAACACAACGTTTTCACGGAAAATTGTAGATGTACATGTATACATTGTGAGAGAGTAACAGCTAATGTACATGCATCATACCTTCCCAGATCCAGATTTTCCAGCCCAGACATTTATGGAGTCAAAGAGTTCATTAAATCCTCTTGCCTTCAAAATAGAGACAACAAAGATTTCTAATAATAAATAGAGGATGTTGTAGCTAATTTTTGATCTCTGTTAATTTTTTATTTAAACCAGATCTGGTTTGTTCTCTTCTAGTTAGTTAATTTTTTTTTCAATTTATACTTCATCAAGAATAATAAACTATTGGCTTGGGATAAAAACAAAAAACAGTTAACTAACTAGGAGAAAATGAGCCACAAATAAATGAAATCAAATTTAACTACGATATATACCCCACTGAAAATTGGCTGCTAAAATTCCCAGATCTTAAAAAAGAAAATGCACAAACTAAAACTGGCAAATCCAAATACTCAGGCCAGCATTCAAACCCAGAGAAGACAATCTATAGCACTATCAGTCCAGTGTACTAACCATCACACCCTAGTTGTTCAAAGGCTGGATAATGCTATCGACCAGATAACTCACTATCCAGTGGATAAGCATTAACAAAACAAACCACGCTATCTGCTGGATTGTGATTTAATGGTGAATAGTGTTATCCACAATTCAAACAACCCAGGCCAGGTCATGATGTCCTCCACAAATCAGAAAAAAAAATTATCAAAAAATAGAAATTGTTGTTGTTGCTGTTGCTGTTGTTGTTGCCATCATAGTTGTTTACTTACTTGGTGGTGAAGGTGATGTGGCTCATGATACACCTGTCCCTGTCCATGAGGTTGCATATGTCCAGTTGCTGGATCAATATAACCTGTAGCAGCCTGGGAAATAACATGACGCAAACCTGGTACCTGAAGTGGTATAATGACAACTGGTTGAAGAAGCTTATTTTACTTAGTGAATAATATACATGATAAATAACGAAATACGGTAACTTCTGGGCTCAGTGAGTAAATGACAATCACGTCACAAGTCCCCAACAGGATTTGCACTGGGTGCCCTTACCACTGAGCTTCTGTGAGATCCATGCCAATGATTAGCTGGGCCATTTACTAGGTTTTTGTTGACACGGGGTGCTTCATACTGCTAGGATCAGCGATGTCAAAAGCATCATATGTAGTAATAAAAAATGAAAGACAGTACATTTTTTTCAGCTCAATGAGCTTGTATAAATTATGGGAAAGGAATGAACTTCACTTCTAGTTATTGCCATCTACCTTGAGTAGCACATAAGGATGACAAAGGACAGCTAGGTTGTGCTCAACCAATATACAAGCTTGCAGTAGGCTATAAGTATGGAATTCTGATAGCCAGTACATCTGTACTTACGTTTTGGGGGAAATCGAAACATCAAAATTTAATTTACTGCCGAAGGGTTAGACTTACAGTATAGCTGACTCAGAGGCAATTTCTTTTACCTGTGACTGGACATTAGCACCCACATTAGTTCCTGTTTGGTACTCTGCACCCATACCACTCCCATTCATTTGCACACCATACATGTCGGCCTGTGGCTGACTTGTGATTGGCATCTGGTGTTGTGATGATGGGGCCACCCCTGTTGGACTTCCTGCCACTGCACCAGCTGGGTATTGTCCTAAAAATAAAGAGTATAGGAGAATTCATAAAAAAAATGTTCCCTGTATTAGCAAACTTCCTTTACACTCACTGTCATTCTAATTATTAGTATTCCACTCTCACTGTGCCTCTCTCCAACCAACCAGCTAAATTTATAGGCAGTGGTGAACTGTGCAGGTACAGTGTAACAAACATACTGTACCTGAAAATTGGGTTTGGGGTTAAACTGAGATAGACTTAATGTAGACTAGGATCCCATCCAAGGAGAGAAGCAATATTCGCAACTCAAATCACTTCACCGGAAACCGACCATACAGAGTGTACAACGTACATTGCATGTACCTCTAGCAACCAACACAGTCAGATGAGAGCAAGCAAATGCTGGTTGCCCTACCTAGGCACTTGTTTGTGTGCACCATACATGAACATGTATATAAAGAACATCCAACAAACAGCCTTAGTGATGTCTTGAAAAAGCCATACACACCTTGACCAGAGGATGGTACTCCTTGCTGTCCTTGAACTTGCCCAGCTGGCCCACCTCCTGAGGCAGCTTTAGCAGCATACATGTTTGCCTCTTCCTGAGCTTTTCCAATGTTTTTCTTGTATCTGATTCTCTTATTGCCAAACCAGTTTGATATCTATACCAGATAAGAAAGAGATAATATATGTACAATAAAATATTGTCAGCCACATTTAACTTTCAACTAATACAAAAGAAAGTTTGGATATGATACAGTACAGAGCTACAAGTTTCCTATAAAGAATGTATCCTTATGGCCAGTCAGACAATCTTAATTTTCACAGTGCAGGGCACACTGTCCAAATATACTTATAATTTTCTATCACATCACAAATGCCCTTCCCCTTATTGTCACCCTTATCATCACATGTCACCATCTTATTCCCAAGCTCAACACAATGAAGTTAACCAGGTCATCTTGAAAGAGATAACCTCAAGATTTTCACATGTAACTTTATGTTGTGATATCACAAAAGCAAAACTCAAAGAAGCGGGAAGTATAACTTTTGGAAAAACCACCTATGAATGACTTGTAGATACATTAGCATGGATTTAGGGCATCTTTGCTTGTGTAGCACTCTTCAATCCACGTTGAGAATAAGATTGGATATCAGCTCATAAAGGTTCCTCAAGCTGTCACTATATCAGTCAATTTCTGATTTCATCTAAACCATCCTGCCATGGAAGGTGTGGCAGAACCTTCTTTGTTCATGATCGTTGTTCCCCTGACCTCCCAAAATACAAAGTTGCACTTTGATTACCAACAGTTCTGAGCTACAGTATATTGCACGGTATTTTAACCAGCCAGCTGACTCATTACCCGGTACCTGTGCAACACTGATGCCACACTTTCTTGCCAATTCTTCCTTGGCCTCCTCACTGGGGTAAGGGTTACTCAGGTGTGAGTAGAAGTACTCATTCAAGATTTCTGTGGCCTGCTTGCTGAAGTTTCTTCGTTTTCTCCTAGAAACAAATCAAGTTTGTTCTCAGTTTAGAACACAAAAAATTTTGGTTTCTACAGATTTCTTTCTGAGACTTTGGAGGTACATCACAATTTCCTGTAGCTGATTACAGTGGAACCCGACCTTACAGTTACCTTGTTAATACGGTCACCTTGTCATTACGGCCACTTTTATGGTCCTGGCACAGTACCTATTCATTTTCCTATAAGAAAACCCACATTCTGAAATCCCAACCTGCATAATCCTATAAAATTTTACCCCATTTATATGGCCTCTCAAACCAGTTATGCTCATTATTGTATGTACTGACTGAAGTTTCAATTTCTTTTAATTATAGCTGCATTCTGGATGCTTATTAAAGAACAGTTGTTTAGAAGAGCAATTTAGAAATATCTGTTAAGACATCACTCAATTTAGGCCAATCAAGAAATTTGGCCCTACCCTGTTAATATGACCACCCCATTAATAGAGCCAAATTTTCATACCCCATTGGTGACCATTTAATGGGGTTTCACAGTACTTTTGTTCTTCTCATGGAGAAACTGACATAAATTATTACCTTGCATCCAGGAACCTTGACCTCAAAATCATAACAGCTTCACAAGTACTCTGCTTCAGCTGCATCTGAATTGCGCTGAATTTGCGGTGAATGATATTGACCATTCTTTCAATTTCCTTGGGAGAGATTGGGCGTGTTCTTGACTGTTCTCTCAGCAAATTCATAACATGGGTCGTAAATTCGTTACAAGCCTGAAAGAGAAATAATTAAGAGGACAATAACAAAGTCACATTGGTTACAAAGTGTACATGCTACATTTACAAGTTATCTCATGCCTAATGATAGACAGTATGCAATGAAATACCTGTTCATATTTTTCAAGTTCTGTGTGATATATCTGTCTTATTTGGTTCAACTTGGCCCTGTATTCCGTATGTTCTGCCTGATTCTCGTGAACCCCAGCTGCAGCTGCTGCTGCCGCTGCAGACCCTCCTCCTTTCTCAGGACCTGCCACACCTTCTGCAAGGAGCATGTTATCTAGCCTCATCAGCTGAGGATCAGGTGGTTCATCTTCTTGAGATCCACGGATACTGAGAACTGTTCCAAGGAAAAAATACTGCTATTGCTTCTGAACCTTGTACCTAAACTGTCCTATATATTATAACATTTAATGAGGGTACCCCCATCAGGAATGATGCCTGACTTATGATAACCAATATTATCACTTGATGCATTTTTTTCCCTTCCTTTNAGAGTCCTTCATCAGCTTAAAGCCAGAAGTGCTTATTTAAAGCTCAAGCGCATAGATCTTGTGTTCATTTTACTAGGAAACTTCTTCAGGGAATTGTTTTTACAACCTAATGTGTTTTTGCTTTGGTCATTGATAGTTTAAGTTCACTGAATTAAACAAACATTTTTAAAAAATAACATCAACATAGCATGGATAAAAAGTCACCAACGTTTTCTTCATCAAGTCACTTGACTTTGAACACAAGATGGCAGAATTTGGAACAATAATTATATGGATCATATTTAGTTTAAATGAGCAACATAAATGAACTAATTTAACATGGAAAGCCAATTACAAATGAAGGCTGGGTTCAAATAAATGCTGGTTCTCAAAATAAATGCCAAGACATTTAATTTATACTCCACCTGGAAGATCCAGTGTTTCATTTTTATCAGAAGCAGTCGCCATTAAGATAAAGGATTATGAATAGGTGCCCTGTCATTTCACAGGTTTCTTTACTAAAAGTTGTTTTCTTTTGTACTGTACAGTACTTAGCTTGCCCCATTTTGGTAATTTTAAGAAATAAATTATGGATTTAAACAATCAAGTTTTTCCAGTTAGTTAAAATGCAGATTTTCATTCAGTGTGTGGCTCTCAATGTACCCTAGTTACAGAAAAGACATCAAAAAATTTCTGGTTTTTCCAACTTCCTGTGTTACCGAACACAGGTGATATTAAAACTTGAGTTGGCTGAAAGTGTCACAAAACAAATCAATATTTTCATTACTCTTGAAATATTTTCATCAATGATTTTTCCAAAATGGGACCGCAGTATGGTGGATGAATGTACAATATGCGTTTAAAATTTTATTTCTGGTTGGAAACTCTGGAAACAGACAAGTGATCAACGTAATTTTGATCAGTTATTTCAGAATACCAATGATCATACATGTAGACCCATGTCAAGCAGGAACTAAGAAAGCTTTCAGCACAGGTTTCCAGAGTGTTTGCATGACATTGGGAAACACATTATTATTTCATGGGCCCAAAGGAAAAGTGTCAGTATTGCAGTATCGGAATCAGTAACTTCCACCCGACACAGGTAATAATATTAATTAGACAACAAAATTATGCTCTCCTTGGCTGCATAGAAATTTGCCCTTTGACTGACTGTCAGTTAATAGTCTAAATCCATACTTCTTGAGTTACCAAGGGGCAAAATTACAGGAATTAAGGCCAAGTCTTGTTCAGGATTTTAGCCATCATCTGGTATTTTGTCCTGATTGCTGACAGTTGTATCAGGAGTTTCCTGGATGATTATATCTAATTTCAGAACAAACTTTGTCAGTGCTGTCAGTGTATAGCACTGCTCTACGAGTTTCCTACAGCTCTCACCCACGGGATGCTAAAAAACTTTTCGTCAAACTGTGCCATCAATCTCAACTAAAAGCAAAACAGTTGCGCACGTGAAATGTTGTATACCTTACAGTCTCCAACTTTATCTTTCTACTGAAAAGTGCCTTTACGCATGGCTTGATGTGTATAAAACCAAATCTAACTTTGACCTCAAAATCAGAAAATTGCAAGGTATCTTTGAGCAGCCTTGTTGTATACTAAATATCCTATAAAAAGAGGATCCTTAGTCTTTATTTAAGAGATCAACATTGTTCTAGAAGATATTTATTGGATGTAAAGAACCAGGACAAAGGTATTATCTCTAGATAGCTGGGAAGTCTATTGTTTGCCCAAAGGAAGGCTGAAGACAAACAATAAACATTCACCAATGACCTATTATGCCGATACCAAAATAACACCCAACACTCTCCATAATTACCACCTTTCACTTCTTAATCGCTACATGCGAGCAATCAAGAGAACAATATGAACCAAAACTGCCTGCCGAGTACCGAGAAAATTTATCAGTACGATCAACGTAAATCAATACATTGACAGCCCCTACTCTTCGAGAAAAAGCATGTTTAAACGACTGGAAAGGCGTTATCAATTTCTACTGATAATAACAATGTTGAGATCCTGTTAGAAAACACATGTTCACATGAAGTTGAGTTTAATAAAGTACTAAATGACACCACAGCGTATTATTTTGATGGAAAAAATGTGTTTAATGATATGAAACTGTAAGGTTTTGATTAAGCTTATATACCAACAGGAAAAAATCAAAAGGCCTTCGATCGAGCGATTCGACACTAAAGAAAATACACCTCGTGCCTTTCGTGATGAATCGTTCCATCGAACAATGCAAGGTACAAACAAAATCGAGAAGTTTATTGAATACCACTGGAAGAAAGTGTGGAAAGTGATTGTAGTAAGACTTAAACATTGTGCATCGACCATCAGGGGAAAATAAACACGTGCCTTACAAAGCTGTCATTACTCGCCTGTTTTTTCCTTGATCTCGCAGAGGACGTTGAAAAGGGCGGGCTTCATGCGGTGGCAGTTCAGAGCATGTTTCCTAAATGGATATGTGATGGGAAAACAATGCATTATCATATGATAAGCCATAAGGCGTGCAGTCAAAAGATCGACAGTTAATAGTATACATAAGAGTGAACTGAACAAGCTCATGTCACTACAGACTCAAACACAGTGAGAGGAGAGAACGCGAAATCGACAACGTAGTATTCGATTTCACTCACCTCGCTTGAGCTTCGTCCAGGGACTGATCAGTGATATTCATAATTTGCTGTAAAATGTCACCGATGTCCTGCTTACGACCGTCCGGTCCTTCTTCTGGAGGTTTCATTTGCTCCAGTGCAGCTTGCTGACCCGATAACATGGGAACTTGCACCGAATTCATCACATTTCCTTCCATAGCGCGGCAAAGATTTGGCTGTTGGCAAATAAACCTTGAATCCAAGATGTCCGCGCGTTCGAGGTTGGAATGCCCACCACACTACACTGCCGGTCGAACTGCAGCTCAAGATGATGTCAGTTTCTTGGAGTTTCAAAGCAACAACACTGTGATGGCTGTTATATTTCACAGAGTGTTACGCTCGGTTGGCGGTCGTGTTTCCAATCTGCCACTCAACGATCTGTTGAATTGAAGCACAGACGTGTCAATATCTTTTGGTGCGTGAGAAGAACGCGAATGATTGACACCGCTGGATTTGCTCAATTAGCATAAAAACCTTCATGTAAAATTCATCAGAGGAAGGTCACAAAGCTTTGGCTTCGTATTCAAAGCTCACCTTTCTTCGGTTTGTGGTTTCTTAGCCAACCAAGAGCGTCAAAATGTTGTTTCTGCTTGAAAATGCGACGGGAACAAAGGGACGCCCCAAAATGTTTCAAGATGGCGGACGGGTGAAGACAGAATGTCAATATTCATTACAGTTGCTATGGTGCAGACTGCAGGTGTTGTTCTGGGGTGGAACAAAGGAACACTTGAATAGAAGAAACACAATAGGATAACAAAAGAAAGGTATACAATAACTTTTTCTTCTTTCTTTTTTTTTTCTTTTTGGTAGATGAAACTAAAGTTTATAACCCGGCGATGTAAATGATGCCTTCAGGCTGTGAGACTAACAATGGGCCTCGACCTCGTGAATACTAACAACTTCACGTGAGAAACATTTGGATGCTTTTAAATTTCATTTGCAAAACATTCACCATCTTGATTTACCAGTACCGGTGGTACTAGTTAGACGTATTAGATGCCGTAAAGCTTTAGAAAAAGCCACTCCGCCAAATTCCTCCCCACCTTCTCCGTGTGAACGAAAAAAGGCCCGAAGGGGGGCACTAGTATATAAAACCCTAGACAAAAGCGATGCTTCCCCCCCGCCTCAACCCTCCGGCCTTTTCTTTGTTGGGTTTCTAGGGCTAGCATAGCATACTTGAAGAGAGGGTCTCTAAGACAATTCATAAATTGTCATGGGTAAAATTTTCTTATCGAGGAAATGAATACAGTTTCCCTAATAAGCGACCACCTACAGCTATTTTTGGTTTCATTTTGTTATGAACCAAGTCAGAAGAATTTCACATGACAGCCTGAAAAGTCACAGTAATAGTGTAATAAATAGTGTTATCATTCGATGCATATTTTTCTTCCTTTTCATTGGCCGACAGCCCACCATGTGACCTGCAAATAAGTACCCTCAAATAATGCTCTGCTCATCCGTAATACTGTCGAAATGTGTTTTCCCACAAATAATATCATGCGTAATTGTAACCACGCTTTTGAGTGAAAAATGTCAGATCGCTTCCCTGAGCTGTCAGAGAGTGCTTAAATATGAAAACAAACTTGGTGATCGACTAACAAAGGAATTATTGAACTTGGTTATCGCATATTGCTCGCCACTGACAAATCACGATATTTTGCTCAACCTCGTCAAATAATTGTTAATTATTTGAAAACAAAAGTGTTTTTTTTTAAAAACTTACTTACTGACTGACTGACTGACTGACTGACTGATTGACTTACTTACTTACTTACTTACTTACTTACTTACTTACTTACTAAACCACGACTCGTTTTGTACTTTTTCACTTTCCGCCAATTAGCGTCTCAGCAAACGTTTTGAACCCCTACTCCTTTTGCTGCCGTGAGGCCATGATTTGTCCTGGGTATGATTTATAAGTACAGTACATCCTCTCCAACCCACCCTGAAAAGTTAAGACGACAAATAAAATTATATAAAAATTATTCATTCCCTAAAACAAATTTTAAACCAAACAAACAAGGCAATACGCCCGTTCTATCAACTGAGAAAAGAGTAAGACTCAAGTTTATGTGACTGCGTACAAATTTCCCCGGATCAACTTCACTTTAACTAACAGGAACTATTCATAGAGACTAATTTGAAAAGCTTTGAAACATCTCTTGATTTGAATGTCAAGTATCGTTCATGACACCCGATCCTGTTAATAAAACAAAATCGCTTCATTTATTTATCAGTTAATCTTTACAAGATACTAGCAGTCACTATGGTTCCGTTTGTACACCGGAAAAAGTTTTAAATTGCGCCTGAAATCAAATTTTCGATATTCCATCTTTTTTCATTTTCGGGTACAATATTCATCGTCAACATCATCATCCCCCAGTGGGGCAGAGGGCCAAATTTCAATCCATTACGAACAACAGAAGTCTATTTGTTGTGGTCGTTGCATACAGTTATATTTGTTTTGTTTTGTTTTGTTTTGTTTTTTTTATTTAGGCCCGCCTAAATAATTCTAAAAACACAAGCGACTAACGGAAAGTCAAAATAGAAGTGATATGAAAGTAGAACGGAATGTACACAATTTGCGGTTTATACTACGTTGTACTGGAAGAATAGATGTTGAGAAAAGAGAAAAATCATCAGGGAAAATCAGAGAGAGAACGCCTGAAAAGTCTGAAAACAGGGGGCTCCTTCTAAAAACGATGATTGTATCTTCCACATGTGAGTTTGTTGTGTAATTCGACTTTTCTTGATGACTTACGGGCAGGTAGAAGTTAACTTGAAGCAGACAAGGACACACTGATAATGGTTTCCATTACCATCTTTTTGTAAAAGCTTGAAATTCACCAGCTTACTGTGACCAGGGAAGCAAGCTCTCTAAAATTTGTGATCCGTTAATTTTTAATTTATTATCTTGAGTTATATTATAGTATTTTTTCATTACGGAAATTACATTTTCAGGTTTAGTCAAATTTAATTTCATAGGGTGGTTTGCGCAGCTGCTACTAATGATCCAAATTTGTCACTTAAAAGTGGTTAAAAGTTTTCGAGGCCTAAATTTATTCATGTGCAATAAACTTTATTTAGTTACAAGCGGTTTTCTTTCACCCTCTTTGAATCTATATTTTCCTTTAGAATAAATCCCGCGAGAGATTACATGCAGCGAGTTCATTACCGTCTAGGTAAACAAAATACTTTTTATCTCGAGTTTCAAATCTTATCGGCAGTTTATGACAGTTTATACAAACTGACTATTGAATCCGTCGATATTGCACAGAGTTATAAGGTTATCGCCGCTGGGTTAAGCAAGTTCATATTTTCAAATGCTATAAGACCCTATTAAGTCAGGCTCGAACAGAGTGTTTTTGTATGCGGTATACAGGGGGATTTTAAATAAAGTATACGGTATTTTGACTCCAAAATTGGGCATTTTATGGGTATAGAGTATACCTTGTTTTTCCCAATTTTGATATTTCGCATGGATTTGAGGGGAAATTTTGGGTATAATGGGTTTTTCTTTTTAGGTCATGATTGGTATACCACTAGCCCCCCATGACTGACCACGATGAGTCACAAAAAGTGTTTTGAGATAATAACTAAGAAAGAATTAAAAGCAATTTTAACCTCCCAGTTGACGGGATTTTTTTTAATAAAAATGGCAATCCCACCTGTTAGTTTCTCAAGGGTCCCCATGCAAGTAGAAAATAAGTCATAAAAGACTTGCAAGGATCCAAGTGGGGAAGAAGTCCATGTCATCCTCATCCGAAGTGTATGACCATTGCAAATAAGATTTACGTTTTTTTTTTTTTTGCTCGAGAGACTAAACTCGGAGGGCAGACTTCTGAATCCCAGTCGAGTCTTCAAGCTGCTTAATTGAAATTTGCTGTACACTCTTTTTTATATAATACACTGGAGTTATAAGAATATCGAAGCCGAAATTTGCGAAATTTTAAGAATATTTTAAGAATAAAACCGAGGCTTAGAATTTGAAAAGAATATAATTTTTTGTGTTGAAAATTTGTAAAGATATTAAAATTATAACATCAGAAACAGCATTAACCCTTTGTTTGATGCTGGTAACATTTCCGCAAGAAGTCATTTATGTCACATCAGGCTTTATTTCTTATATTCTGGCTCCCAAATTACTTCATCGGCACCAAAGTCGAACCGAAATGTCTTAAGCTATTCACAAAAATATTTTCAGCCCAAAATTGGTGGAAAAATAAGAATTATTAGCCTGAGATAGACAGAAAAACAATTTTCCTATTTAAAAATAAGGGTGTAACCGCTGTGATGCTATAAAAATATTAATTAGTTATACCACGAACGATAGGAATAATGTTTAAGGGATCTTAAAAACAATGCAGAAAAGGCATTCACATCCAAGGAAAGTCATGAAAGGAAAAGGACAAAGGTGATGTTTACCTTGGCGCACGACCCCAAACAGACCAAAAGAGTGAAAGAAAACATCAGCAACCCCTGTGGTTAAAACTGTGTTTGAAATAAAAAGTTATGCAGATACAGAAACCTTCATTATTCGCGGTTGATCAAGGAGTGTAAATGAAGAGCACTTCCTTTATTCAACAGTGATGGTGATTTTTCTGTGAGGTAAATTTTTCACCCTTTCTTCTTAGTTCTTTTACATTCCAGTTTAAGTTGCGAAGATTTAATTGACAGTTAATGTGTTTTTCTGCCATCGTAAAGGTTTTTCTCTTTGGAACTTCAGGTTTGAAGAGATGGCTGAAACCCGCTTGCAGAAAAAGTGTAGCAGTGGGGCAGTTGGGAAACTTCGAGAGTTCTGCTCCGAAACTACCGCTCATGGGTTTGGTAGACTGACATCTGCTACTTCCGCAATAGAAAGACTTATTTGGTTGTTATGTTTACTAGCTGCCCTGACATATACGCTCGTCCAGGGATTTAGTCTCGTTTCGGAGTACTTTTCGTACCCAGTCGATGTCAAAGTTGAGATGAAACATGCCGAAGATCTTGAGTTTCCCGCCATTGTGGTTTGCAACATGAATGCGTTGAGAAGACAGGCCTTAAACGAGGTCGTAAAGATGGGGCAAATAACGGTGAGCGTTTATTTTAATAACAGCCTCGGCCGTCACAAACTAACTCCACTGTCATTTCAGTGTTTTGCCACTTAATTATTAACAGCGTTGTATGACGAATACCGTTCTCTTTTTGTCTACGCTACTCACTATCTATTCTGTTGTGGATAGTGAGTATCCTAGCAGTGTGCGGTTGTTAACCAAATGGCGGCCGCTTCTTTGCGTTTTCGAAGTGTCTGTGAAGAGGATTTAGATCAAGTTTTGAGAGACTACTAGATTGTATACTAAATCAATAACTTAAAGACTATTCTCTCTAGATGTCTATGCGTGATAGGAATCTCGAGCTCATAATCTATATCTAAACTTTGCTCTCGATTTCCATGCGTGACAGTTGACTCGGGCTGCTCGCTCATCAACTATCACGCGTTATAGTTGGCCACTAAATTTTCTCCGATTCTTATCGGTTTAAACTAAT